GGGAGCAAAAGACAGCTGGCGGAAAACACTGTGCAGATGTTAAAAAAAAGACTAAAGGGGCCTATTCCACACACACGCACACACACACACACACACACACACCGCACACACACACACACACACACACACTCTCTATATTTGGCTGAGAGCAGCAGCGCTTCCTACAACATTCACAGTCTTTTAACATCATCGCCACCTCGTTCCTCAGAGCCGGCGCGCTGCTGACTGACTCGAAACTGAAAATCTAACGAGCTCAGTCATCTGACAAACATCTCTTCACCTCATTAGCTGCTCTGTTGTGTTAATAAGGTGCCAGGACGACACATCCTCACCACAAACAGGAGCACATGTGAGCCTTCATCATGATCGAAGAGCTGAAAATAGCTCCAGTGGCCATTAAAGGAGCTGCAAGCTTCACAAGCTGCACGTCACATCTGTGAGCGCCTCATTCTCACCTATAACTACAGGACACGTCTGCTTTTATTTTCTCTGTCATCACATTCACACCAACAATGTGTTAGTCCATCTCTAATTCTTACCTCCCTGCTTAGTCTGTGGCTCTCAGCTGCATTCAGCCATTATAACACGTCACAAATACTTCTGTGAATATTCTATAAAACAAATCTCTCTTTTACGACCAACAATAAACTGAACCACATCCAACACACATGTAACGGTCTAACCTGAAAAACCCACAGTTTCTGTGTGAGGACAAAATCTGATCACACAGGATTTTTCAGTAACTACATACAAACAACAGCAACGTTTTTTTTTTTGCTAAAATTACTGCCAAACTGTGCTGAATGATTTTGGGAAATCGAATTTACATCATGACATTAGTCAGTTTTTAGGAAAATATGAGGAAAAATACAAAAATTAATCCCATGATAGCCTCTTAAACCAGAGGTGGGGAACTCCAGGCCTCAAGGGCTGGTGTCCTGCAGGTTTAACACCCTGGGTCAACACACCTCATTCAAATGATTAGTTCATTACAGGCTTCTGGAGAACTTCAAGACATGTTGAGGAGGTAGTTTAGCCATTTAAATCAGCTGTGTTGGATCAAGGACACATCTAAACCCTGCAGGACATCAGAACTTGAGGCCTGGAGTTTCCTCACCCCTGGGTTAAAGGTAAAGAAATTTAATCTACAGAAAATTTGTTATAGAGGACATTGAAAAACAAATGCTAATGTATAAAATGACAGGTTTGAAAGTAGAGAGAAATGTTTCCAAATCTTCTTAAACTCACAAAGACATAAAAGGCTGAAGTACTCAACCTTTAGGCAGATCAGACGCTGCTCATCTTTTCATTTAATTCAATTCAATTTTATTTATATAGCGCCAAATCACAACATAAGTCGCTTCAAGGCGCTTCATAAAGACTACATAAAGAAATTAGAAGAAAAGGGCTTCAGGCAGAGCTGCAGAATAAACGTGTTTATATCAAATATTGACTTTTCATGTGTTTCCATGCATGTTTGGACATCTGTCTGCTACTATTGCATTTATTTTATTTTATTTAAGGTCCATCCTTGTATTTTCTAATATATAAAACTAAATCTGCCTGTGATTGGCTCGTTCTTTGCTCTGCTGCATGCATCCTCATGCTGCTCCATATTTAGCTCCATTCCTGCTGAGACTCTCAGAACAGATGAATGAGCTGTTGGTGTTGACTGTTGGTGTTGCTCCCTGTAACTGTATCAGACTGAATGAATGTGAAGGCGGAGCTCTGTCAATACTGCACTAAAGGTCAAAGGGAGGCCGGTGTAGTAAAGTTAGCTACTGATAGAGCCGAAGAGTCATGTGGTCCCCTGTAAAGATCAGCCCTCTGAAAAATGCAGTGTGC